TCCCATAGTGGTCTAATATGCAATACGAACTACTTGCAGGTGAGGTTTCATTTTACACAAACCACTCGAGTGAGTTCAACAAAACGCTTTCATAATTTCTTGTTGGACCAATACTCCATTTTTAATCCCATCAGCTTCTCTGTATTTTTAATGAGTTATTGAAACTTTATTCAAAATATATCAAAACAAACTTTGGTAGCCAAAATGAGGAAAATAGGATGATATCATTAGAAATTTCTTCCATCTCTTTAATGCTACTTAGGAACAGCACTATCCAGTGCTACACCGATGGCTCGAAAACGTTGGAAGGCATTGGTGTAGAAATCGCAGGTCTTCGAATTCAATTTTCCGTATTGCTGGGATGTTTTCGCTCCATTTTTCCAGCCGGTGTGCTGTAATAAAAATTCAGCACAACTATCGCTATGAGCTTGTTGCCTAACGCGTTGAACGCGATCTCATCGTACGAGGTTAAATCGGTACTGGTTCAGGAGTGTACAGAATGGCTGAACAGGCTGTAAGTCTGCAACCGGGTTCACTTTGTCTAAGTGTTGGGAAACAAAGAAGTGGACGGTAATGAACTTGCTGACAAATTTGCCCACTTCGCTGCGGTTTCTGGGATAGTAGGATCGAAACCATTCCTTAATGTGGGAACCCACACTATAAAGAAGCTGTTTTAAAAGAAGTAGAGAGTGGACAGGGATAAATACTGGCAGTTAATTAATAGCCTACGCCATACAATGCTGTTAGTTATAGGTTATAACATCGCAAGGTTTGAACAAATTATAAACCTTTTCTGTTGAAAATTTACGCTGGTCACTGCAGGCTCAAAAAGCACCTATTGCACACGGGTATAACCTCGTTTAAAAATTATCGGTTCTATGATATGGAGCCGAAATCGCCGGAGCTTCTAGATTGCATAGGGCTCTGCAAACGCAGAAATAAGGGCTTTGGAATCATAACACAAAGTGAGGAGCACAGTGTCTCAATGGCTAATGGAAAGATCCAGGAATTTATCAAAGTTCTGCGTCTATGAAAGCCCTTGTGTAAGAAAGTAGGGCAAAACAGACCGCCGGACGCTTTCTACTTTCCAATTTATTTTATTCTCTCCAATTAGTTTTGCGGACAATGGAGTTTTCGAAGAATACTTTGTTATTAAAGAGCATTGTTAGGTGATATCAAAATCGATGAAAATCTTTCTTTGATATCTTTCCCAAAACCGAATAGGACGATTTTTGTTTCTATATATAGCTCAGTAAGTGGATTATTTAATTAAATAAAGGTGAACATTTCTGACTTAAAAACTTTGAAATGTTAACAATCTACGCTTTTTGTCTCTTTCTGCAAGCAGATTGCACAGCTTATTGCAAATATTCGCAACTCAACATGTTGCTGAAACATATCGCCAGATGTTGCGGAAAGCGAAACTGTTATATGAGCTAAGAAATGTTTGCGAAAAGTCGAGGCAAAAAGGCAGAGCATAAATAAACAAAAATTTCGGCTGATGTTTACAAAGAGAGTAAAAATATATATACGTAGTGAGAGCGCGCATTGAAGGCGCAAACATATAGAGCACTACTACAAATTCATAATGTTCTCTGGTTAGAGCACATTCAATATTTTAATAATTAGGCATTGTATTCCGCTTTGTTTTGATTTAATGAAGGGATGCGGAGGCCAAACAAAGCATATGCTAAAATCAGAGAAATGACAAAACTACATCTAAATAATTAAAGCAGCGAGAAAGAGAGAGAGTGAGATGAACGCAAAAAGATACAAATATATGTTGAGTGCGTTGCGAAGCAAAGTTGAGTGGATGTTAAGAGCAAAGTATCTGCGGTGAGTAATAAATTTTACAAAATCACACGCACAAACGCTTAATAGACACAAAGTCAAATTGCAAACAACAATGCTACGCTATGTGTTAGAAGAAAAATCCATGAATCAACAAACCGCCGAGCGCACTTATTCATACGCTTTCGTTATAGACGGCACGAACAAACCGAATGGGCGAGTAAGTGAGTGAGTGAGCGCAGCTCCGAAGGCCGTTGCTGGGTAGTAAACAGTGTGTGTTTAATGGGGAGTGGTGGGAGTGTAGCAAAGTGGGCAGCAGCAACAGCAACACCAAAGCAAGTAACAGCAGCGACGCAGCGTGCGCATTACAACAACGTTCAATGTTGAAATTCATCGCTCGCCGTGCGATTACTGCTGTCTTGAAAATATTCAGTTGAAAAGTTACTCTTTCAGTGTGCGGCCGTCTCCGTAAGTAAATCATAAGACCACATAGTTATAACGCGTATTAAGTGTAATATTGGACGGTACGGTTGTTTCTCCTATAACTAATATCTCGCACAATCGCTTAAGTGAAGAGGTGGTGCAGTGAAAAGTGATTTCGTTTTAACCAACAAGAGCTGATTTGTATGGCAAATAGATTTTGCAAAAGTGTTGTATGAAAAAAATATCTCAACAAAATTTTGCCAATAACAACAGCAACACGCAAGCCGAGTGTAGTAATGAAAAGTCGATGTCGTTTGATACGTGTGCCAAGTAGCAACAACAACATGGGCGCATATGTGAAGTGAGCGAATGCGTGTGTACGCGAAGTGCTGTGGTGAAGAGCGCGAACCGCCAACAAAATATACTACTCAAGCAGTGGCGCGAGAAGAGAGCGTGCTGCGCGCGATTATATCAATTCGTTTAACCAGAGAACGTATAGGACTAGCTGATTGAATGCGTTGTATATTGGCGAGTATGTAGATTTTGCTTGTGGTTAAGTAAAAAGCAACAAAATATATTTGTTATTAAAAGTTATTAGCAAGGTAGTGTGAAATCCATGTTTGAAATTGCTGTACAATAGAATACCATCCACATATGTATGTAAGTGTGTATGTATGCTTTTCGTGAGCAGTGAAAATGAAAATAATTGCAGTGATGAAAGTAAATAAGCATTAACCACAATTTATTTGCGGTCAAACGCCCGACAACGCCAACGAATATTCGAATATTCGCAAAATTCGTTAACGAAACGTGTGCTTCTTCTTATTCGCGGCAGCAGCAGTAGTGACTGCGCTGGTGTGCGTGTGTGCGGCGTACAGGTGCAAGTGTACGCGCGTATTTCGCAGTCACATATGGTATATTTATACACACACACATCCATATATAATATACATGGTTGTATACAATTCGTCGTTTGCCTGTGTTCGTGTTCGCATAGAAGTTGCCAGCGCAAAGTGGCAAATCGGGCAAATAACCAGTGAAACAAGCAACCAGTCAGCCAACTCACGGCTGTAACCAACCAACCAACCAACCCATACTCGTATCAAAATCGTATTGCCCAATTTTTGTATTGCTTCATCGGCGCGAGGTATAGAAGCTGAAATCGAGTTGAAAACCTATTGCTTGGCATGTTCGCATTTTGAAAGTATCTCATAGATACCATTTGTTTGTTGCTCGCCGTTTTTTGTTTTTTGCGCAACCTCAAGTCAACAGTATTTCGAATTTGTTGTTGTCGGTTTTATCGACAAAACGGCCGACAACTTGAAGTGGAAATACAGCTTGAAAATATAAAAATTGAAAAAAATGGAAAATATAGAAAGTGAGGTGAATGCGACACCAAACAAGTCGATATGAAAAGAGTGTATGTTTAAAGAAAGTGGCAAACAAAACAAAAGCATAAATAAAAGTCAGTTGAAAATCGAATAAAAAAGTCGCGTGCTCAGCAAACGAGGTGAAAATCATTGCAAAGTGCAGAGAGAAAGCGTTTTTTGCAACACCCAAGAAGCGGCGATCAAAGCAGATAACGTGAATAATACAAAAAAAAACAACAAATATAAACTAAAAAGCCAACGTTAGCAATAAGTAGTGGCAGATTGCAGTGGCAGATGTATAATAAACATATACACACATATATATGTAAAGCAATGCAATATAATAAAATATGCAATAAAATTTGAAGGCCAATAAACGATGATTAAATATTCAAATAATCAAAACAAACAGCATAATTACAATGGAATAGCAACAAGTATTTAATATTGAACAGTGAAATTAATCATAAAATTTATATGAAAGTGAAAATTGTTAACAAAAATATATTACAAAAATTTATAAAACCGTAAAAGCAAATGTTCAAAAAAATATAAATTCTTTTGGAAAATGTTGAATATATAAATATATATATTTTTCAAGTGATAAAATACTTCAAAAATAGTATAACGGTGGAAAAAAGTTTAGAAAGTTAAAAAAACAGTGTAAATTTGAAACAAGGGGCTATAAAAAGTTGTGAGCATTCTAAATAATATTAAAATGAATAAAAACGTGTTATATATTTGACGTGAAATAGAAACACCGCAAACCTACTTGACAACAATACGTGTTATAGGAGCAAAAAATACTGCGTGGGTTTAAAACTCTTAATTTATAAGGTAGGACCATACAAATATTTAATTATAAATTGATTAGGATATTAAATAAATAAATACTACGTATAGCTATTTCAATAACAAAAAATTAAGAAAACAAGAAAAAAGTTAATATACATACATACATCTATATATATGTATATAATACCCTTTACAAATGAAAAGGTTTCCATACAAGAACTTGATTTTGATCGTTCAGTTTGCATGACAGCTATATGCTAAATTGATTCAATCTAAACAAGTTATTCGGGGGTTAATCTTGTACATCAATCCACGCTGAATTTCGTGAATATAACTTGATAAATGAAAAAGTTTTCCATACAACGATTTGAGTTTGATCGATTTGATCGATGACAAATGAGCAGCTTCTTAGAGAGAAAAGTGCGCTTTCGAAATTTCAACTAGATATCTCAAAAACTGAGATGAAACCGATATTTATGCAGAGAATGCTTGTCATCAACGAGAATTAAACAAGAATAGCAGCCCACAGAAAGAAAAATAAAGAACACAGCACAGAAGTTTTAGTTTACGGTTACTACTTTACTTTTTAGGTTACGAATACTACTTTAGTTTTAGGTTACGAATACTTCCAAATTCTACTTAATTTAACAACATTCTTACATTTTCGTGTGGAGTTAAAATGAATTGTGCAAAACTTTGCGCTTTTTTATGTACATATGTATATACGTCTACCATGTATGTATCTTACATTTGCTGCTCGCTCTCCTAATTTATTTTGCTTCATTTTATTTCCAACTTCGCACTTAGTATACTGCTCGTTTGATGATCTTTTTTATTATTTTTTTTTTTATTATGACATTTCTAATTCGTTCTCTTTGCCATTTGCCACTAAAGTTTATGTTAACATTTAAAAATTTCAGTTAGTTTTCTGTTGCTTTTTATTTAATGCTTTACTTGATTTTTGTTCAAAATTTGAGTTTCAGTCGCTATCTGTTCTTGTCTACGAATATTCGCGAAAAAGTACATTTCCAAATTCGACTATATACCGTGTCACTAGCCACCTCACCTAAGGGCGAATTTTATGCAAAAATGTACATTTTATGTTTTTCATTTTCAACTCATATAGGTATACTTACTATGTAGACGACCCGCTAGTTTGTCTTAACTTAACAGCAGTAGTGCCGCTCAATATTTGATGATGATGTGTGTTTCGTCAAAACTGGTTGTTGATTATTTTGCGAATTTGTTGTAGTATTTTTGTTTGTTTGATGGTGGAATTTTCGGTTGCTAGTTCGCGTTACTATTTATTTTTGTTTTGTAGTTTAATTCTAGTTTCGAAATATCTAGATTTATGGTAATTTAACATTAGCTTCTGGAAATCAAGTAAATTAAGGTAATTTAGTAAATTTATAACTTTTATTTTAAATAAATCTAGTAATTTCTGCGAATTAGTAAATTTCCAGTTTGGCTTTGACTTTAGACTCAGTGCACGTGATACAATTAGTAATCCTATTATAACTGTCGTCAGTGAATAAGACAATAGCTGTTCAGTTTCTAAGTGAGTCATTTAATTATCTACAATTTGTTATGATTTTCTACTTAAAAGTCAATTTAGCCTACAAATGTACCGTTTTATGATTGATCACTGTTTCTATCGCTTTTGCCTGAGGTCAATTACAAGTTTATTGTGCTCCACGTGCCTTGTGTTTTGTTTCTATCACAATGATACACTTGTTAGAAGCAGATTTCATTTATTTTCAAAAGATTATCTAAAGTGGAATTTTGTTTTAAATTTAGTTTAAAAGAAACATACCTCCTTTTCTGAATTTTCTGAGTTGTGGTTGTGGGTTCAAGTTACAGCCGATACAATAGCTTGTAATAATAGTTAGAAAATCGTTTCTAAAAGTTTTGATCTTTCAATAAAGCTACCTTTGTAGTATATTTTTAATTCGAAAGCATTCTGAAAGGTTCTATATGCTATTTGTAGGTGGTTTAAGATTTGTAAGATCATCTATTTGTTGAGTAACAGAACATCTAGCCGAAAAACTAAACACCCAGTAAATCTAACTGATAATTGAAGAGATACATATGTATATTATATTTAATGAGCAGATAGGCGATAGCGACGAAATGACACAATGATAGTCTTCGAGGGTGTATATGGAATTTATTAAGAATATTTATTTAAAAATCGAACATAATATATGGCACAAAAAAAGTTTACTGTATCATGTCAGATATTATATTCAAAAAAGGCATGACTAATGTAGGTTTTGTATTGAGATCTTTGGTTAAATTATACAAAGCACGCTTTTTCTCACTCTTTTTTGTCAATATAGCTAAATATTCACTTGAAACTGATCAAGAATTAGTTTAGTAATTTACACCCTTTCTTGATCTGTAATAAATTAACACAATATAAAATTGTGCTAACAGAAACCTTTTGAAGTCACCATTAGTAAATACGCCTCTTTCAAACTTTAGAAAGTGAAAAAATACTGAAATGTAAATAAATAAATTTTACGAAATATTTCCACAAAATATTAACAATTTCATGCAAATCACATTAATCCGACAGCCAATTCACACAGCAAGTTTGTTGTTGGTGCGATACTTCAACGATCGTCATATGCAGTCGTTTTTATTTTGCGTATGTTGCATTTCGGTGTATTTCCTCGTAAATTGAAATAATAAATAAGCACAATCCAAATTTAAATACTTAAGCTTCTTTTTATATTAAGTGTAAATAATTGAGCACTTTAACGGCAAAGTAAACGTTAACGGAACTGGTTATATACATTTACTTAGGTACATATTATAAATCTCTTGTATGTACATATACGAATTTGCCTCGCAAATATGGGTATGTTGTGTGAAAAAATCTTACTAAGGTTGAAAAGGTGTTTAGTTGTCAGCGTTCAATCAACCTAAACGTTCGTTTCACGCAAAAAGTATTCAATTGCATGTGATCACTTTGTGTGCATAATACATATATGACTCTCCCTTTTAGCTAAGCTGCCAAGATAACTGGTCATATGTATTATGTATATAGTTTTGTAAAAATCGCTTTTATCAGTTACTCAGTCGTACAGATACACTTCACTCAGATTTCAAAAAATCATTTTATATTTTCTGACCCAAAATTTAAACACGTGATCCTTCAACTGAAAAAAATTTTTTTTTTCTTTCTTCTTTTTTTAATATAAAAACTGTGAAAGGTCATTATAGAAAATGGAAAAAACGTTAATTTTGGTTGTACTGAAGCTAGAATACCATTCACAAATAAAGAAGTTCAGATCCAAGAACTTGATTTTGATCGTTCAGTTTGTATGGCAGCTATATAATATAGTGGTTCGAAAAAAAAGTTCTTCAAATGTTGTAACGTTGCCTATTTTTCTAGTCTAAACACATGAATTTCAGGTAATTTTTAAAGTGTCGTAAAAAAAGGCAACCAATATTTTTACTATCGATTTTTTATCAGTTATTTATTAATGTTACAAGAGTATAGAAAAAATTAAAAAAAATCAAAAATTTTGAAAACTGATAACTGATGAAGTGGGGCGTCTCAACTAATTGGCACATGAGTCATCTGAAATGAAACAAAAAAAATATTACCAATCTGCAATGATGTCGCAATTGTATGAAGTAGGGATAAGTAAGAAATTTTTCTGACAAAATGGCGACTGTTTGAAAAAAAAACGTCTTTATTACCAGTTTATTTTACTTTTTTCGTAAAATAGTAAAAATTGAAATTTGGGGATGAGGCTAGTTCATACTCGAGAGAGGTCTATAAAGAAGATTCTCAGAAAATTCAAGTAAATGGATTCAGTAGAACTCGGAAAATCGTGGGTATCGTATTGAAAAAGCCTGGTCTAAAAAAACGCATTTAAAGTTTCGCGTAAAGTCTTTTGTTCGATTAGACTCAGCCGTACCAATTTGTAGGCCGGCTCAGTAAAATGTCTTTATCTTCGAAAATAATTAAAATTTTCAAAAATCCTTTCGTATACATATCCTTAAATAGCTAAACTTTGAAAATATGAAGGAGAAAAAAATCGATTTTTTGAAATTCTACACTACCTAGAACAATAATCCATGCCAAATTTCGTGAAGGCATCTTGTCAATTTGTATGGCAGCTATATGCTATAGTGGTCCGATACCATAAATTCCAACAAATGAGTTGCTTCTTTGAAAGGTAAGACGGTGTGAAAAATTTTAGACCGATATCTCACAAATTGAACGACTAGTTCGCGTCTATACAGACAGACGGACATGACTAAATCGACACAGCTCATGACTCTGATCATTTATACATATACGAGTATACATATATTTTATAGGGTATCCGACGTTTCCTTCTGGGTGACACAAATTTCGTGGTAAACTTAATATACCCAGTTTAGGGCATGCTTAATAGCAGTGGCGATTCTCAGTTGTAGATTCGTGAATAATTTTGTTGCTATCACTATTCAAAAAGGAAGGAAGTAGAGTAACCTTTTGAAACTGTTGGTTACAGAAATCCAAGATCTCAACACAAGTCTTAAGTGACGAATTACAGATATATTTTACTTGTTTCGAAAATAATATCAAGGGTGTATTAATATGGTAGAGAGATTATGGCTTGAGATTTGTGGCTTCAAAGTTTTTATATGTAATATGTGATGTTATTTTAATAACCACATTGCCCCTGCCTAGGCATTATTAACCTCCAGCAGTTACATGAACAGAAAATGCAAATATCATATTTTGTAATTCATACTGACTAAATGTCAAAGCACCATAATTGCAGTGTCATGGTAGACTTCTTCGTTTCCAACCTCCGCCTCAACACATCACTGCCATTATATATACATACATATATGTGTGCATGTGCCTCATTGGGAAGTGAAATTCGTAACATTCGCGATATTTATCTGCGGTTTCATGGACGTCGATTTCACCCACAACAGCCGATAAGTTCATGTTTGTAAATATATAGCTGAGTGCATTGTCTGGCTGCCGTTGTTAACATTTAATTTTACTTGGTTTATTTTCTCTTGCTGGCGCCTGCGTTTAATCGCCTGAACACCAATTATATGCGTGCTCTGCCGTTCATGCTCTTTCTCGCTCTCGTGCTCATTTGCAACTGTCAATGAACAGCTGTCAGTGTCAGAGCAATGTTTGTCAGCAATAAACTGCAACACAAACAACCCTACCATCAGCTGGTTACTTTTCCCTTTTGCTCTCGCGAGCTACAAGCGTATGATACATATGAAGAGCGCTCGTTGCTGCAGCCCTTCAGCTCATGCCACCTTGGGGTCGATCTTGTCCACTTGTACTTACATACAGTAGAGGTGTGGAGCTTCGCGTACTCCTGTCTGCTATGTTACCACAGTCTTATGTTTACCTCTTTTAGCGGGCCTTTTTCTATGCCCCTTTCTTGCGTTCATTGCTCGATTATTTTACTTATTCATTTGCAATTTTCGTTGAACTCGCTTGGAGACGCGAGTATTTTTATGTATGTATGCAGTGTGTGTGTCGATGTTGCACCTCAAACCTCAAAACAGCTGGCTTTGTTCGCAGCTTGTTTCATAGTAATTGATTTCGGTGGCGCATTACGTTTTTGTTGTAGTGCAAATTTTTGCTACCGAATGCGTCTAAATTATTGCCTGTGTGCGTGAGAGTCTTTGTTATTCTTTTCTTAAAAATCAATAACTTGCTTACATATAAATGAGTGTTTATATTTAAGAATTGCTTTTTATCACATTAAAATGTGCATTTCAGATTTTTAAACTTTTCCGATTCGTATTCACAATTTGCATTATTGTCGCATAAAATTTGAAATTTTCTCATTTTACTTTGTCATCGTCGCATTTGCATTTTTATTGTAAACAAATGTATATATATATGTATATATGTATGTATGTGTCTGTGTATATAAATAACATATGTATCTATATCTACAGTATATATGTATGTACATTTGTTGTTGCCTATCTCTGTCTGATTTCTGTTTTATTCACCCGTTGACATTGAAATCATTGTCGATATCAGTGAGCACTTTGTTGCTATTGCTGTAGTTGTTATTGTTCTGTTTGTTTTGGTTGTCATACAAGTATGGCTCAGTTGATTCTACTAGATTTATTATACCCTGAACAGCGTAAATTAAGTTTGCCACGATGTTTGTAACACACAGAAGGAAACGGAAATATAAAATATTATATATATCTAAATGATCATGACAACATGACGAGCTGAGTCGATTTAGCCACGTCCTATCTGTCTGTTTATACGCGAACTAGTCCCTCAGTTTTTTCATTTGTCGCAACTGCCGATATCGGACCACTATAGCATATAGCGTCGATACAAACTGAACGATCGGAATAAAGTGCTTA